ATTTATTTTTATTTAATTTTATTAACTTTTTTTAAAAATTTAAAATTAAAATAAATAATAATAATAATAATAATATATATATATATATATATATATATATATATATATCCCTGAGTTGTACACTATACTTGGGGAAACTCAGCATTGCCCATAGGCATCAGAGTCCCTGAAACTCCAAAAGTTTGACAACGAGATAAGCTCAATGCCATCAAAATGCATCAATTGTAAAATTCAGGGAAAAATACTTTCAAATTCTAAGTCAAATTACAATTCTTAGAAGAAAAGACACTCATAATAAATTACCTTGAAGAACAAGATATAGAACTAAACCAAATGGATCAAATTTGAAATTCGGGGCAACTTGCTTGCAATAACAATTATTGAAAGAAAAAATACCGCTTAAAGCAATTTTAATCTCAGAATATGAAGTAAAACAAAACTAATTCTAGCTTCATAAAGCACACCTCAGAATAATGAATATTCCTGAGAACAAATACTTAGAATGTACTCAAAGAAACCAAAGCCCAGCTTCAAAATCCACTAAACACAGTAGAGCTTGATATGGACTTAAAGCTAGAATAAGAAACCAGCATCGAATAAAATGATATCATTACCGAAAGGGAAGTAAAAAAGGTGAAGAAAAAGAGCCCTAACCACTTCTTGACAAGGTCCAGCAAGAACAGTTTGGCCTCTGGATTAAAGCTAGGGCATGATGTGCTTCTTTGTCTCAATTGAACTGGCTTTAAAGCAAAAGGGCCACGCTTCCATTTTTGAGGCTTTGAAACTTTTTAGGGTTTCTTCTTTTTGGGGTCTCAATGGACCCCGCAACTCTCAGCTGTACTGTGAAAAGGAGTGGGAATTCAAAGACAAAGGATTGAATATGGGTTTTGAAAAAGGAACTCATTATTATTTTCTTTCCCTTTTTGAAAAAATTGTGATCGACTGATCTGTTCATTTCTTTTCTTTCTTTTTGAGGTAAATAGCATCTGATCCCGGTTTTTTTTTTTATTTCTTTTGATGAGTGAGAGGATCCGTCTCTCTCTTATTGGGTAAAAGCGATCTCATAATTCGTTTTCTGCAAATATTTTGTTTTCTGCGAAATTCACAATTGGCATCGCCATGAAAGCTTGAGCTCTGAGCATCTGAAAAAATAATTATCTCAGGAGAATTTTCAGGATTTTGTGCTCTGATTAAATGAGAAAAAAAAAAGAGGAACAAATTCCAGCTTTTTTTTATTGAAATATTTGCATAAAGTGTACTCACGCGGGACAACACTATAGGCTTACTCCCCCCCGGCAAAAGACCTCGTGGGGATTTCTTTGGTGCACCGGTATGCACTTTGAAATCACGTAAAATTTCAAAACAGAAAGACAATTGAATTTTAAGTTCTTAAATATTAAAGGAAAAAGTTTAAACCCGATCATCCAAATCTTGGATGGTCCTGATTTGATGATGTTATTTTTAGGGAAATTATGGGTTGTGTATTGATAATATTTTATCAATGTAAGGCATAACCCTTTATGTGTGTTGTCAAATTCGCTTCATTTATGCCGAAGAGGTGAAGCCTTAGATTTTAGGCCTAGATCGAAGTAGCGAAGCGTGGTGCTACCTCTTCGATCATATTTGGGGTGATTTGGGTTTGCTTCAGGCCCATTTGGCTGAAGTTTTGGTCTCTTTGGCCAAAGCAAAAAAATAATAATAATAATAATAATAAATATATATATATATATATTTCTTTTAAAACAGATTTTTTTGTTTTTATATATTTTTGTCAAATTTATTTAAATTATATTTTTTAAACAAGTATAAAGTTTTTTCCCAAAATCGGCTTAAACATCGAATTGCTTTATTTATTTTTACCAAACCAAATAAGACTCCAAAAACATTACGACAATATTGCTCTTTACAAAAACATAAAAACTTGTTTCCACACCTAATTGTGTCTCCAAACCAGTGCGGATTGACCAGATTTATGCATACAAAAAAAATCTTTAGAATAGATATTTTAGATAGTATGTTACAAGTTACACTATTTTTAATACTCGAAAACATATGAGAGGTTGGGAATTTGAACATTTCCTGATGGATTCTTGAGGTGAGACCTCACCTTTATCTTCTACAATTTAAGGTTAACAACTTTATATTGATGTTTTCCTTTACCAGATAGGCTGTGTTCCAAAATTTGGACTCCTAAAAATGATTCTAACTAGGGTGTTTTACCCGAGGTACCAATGTATATTATGCTCCTGTGAGATCATTAAATCTTTTGCGAAAAATTTTGGTATAAGAAATGATCATCTCGATTATTGATGCTTGATATGCACGTGCCCGCAATAATAAATAAATAAGATGACCTGTGCTTCTAAAGCAAGAATAAAACGACAACACACGTGCTGTGGTCTCCCTTTTTTTGGGCTGATAGTTAGAATAAAATAAAATGATACACATTATTTTTTAAAGGCGAGCTTTTTATGTTTTCCCTATATCATAAAATTTATAGGGTGCGGTTTGTATAGCCGAGGTCTAAATAATCAAACTAAAGCACACCTTCAAATAGATTTGTAATAAGTATATGATAGAATGAAATGTTATTGTTTGCCAAAAAAAAAAAACACACACACCTTCAAATGGCGTCGAGAAATGTGGTTTCAATACTAGAAATATTTGTAATAGCTTTAAAATATATTTTCATTGTTAATTATAAACTAAAAAATAGTGTAGATCGAGTAGATCTATGAAAACTTATAACTCTTGAAGATTGACAGTCTAAAAATGCATTACAATATGCGCTATTTCCAAAACTTGAAATCTATTTTTTTTCTCATGTCCATGCATCTTGATGCCGAGAAGATCAATTTGAAGATATTTGGGCATCAAAACAACCTATTCTAGTAAAAGTTTTGATGTGGGCTCTAATTTGAATGTTTAGAGCCTCGCTATATATAAACTTTTACCAAACATATATACCTCCTCTTATCCAACTGTCCATTCTGAATGGACGGCTGAAATTACCTCAATCATAATATCACGTCTCTACACAATTTTATTGTTAGTTATTTTTATACACATTATTTTGACACCAAATTTTGGGCATCTACTCCTCTCTTAAATTTGCACCTGTAAAAAATACAAAACAAATATTCCCAATAAAACAAAATAACTAATGCCCTTGAAGTTTCAGGGTATTTTGGTTATTGAATGTTATTGATAATATTGTTTTACTATTTTTTTAGGTTTACCCCATTGAGATGACGACATGTATCAAATTTCTTATTCATATAATATGTAAAAAAATAAAAATAAAATACTCTGACTCATCGGATATAGATCAAATGGTCAGTGGCTCATTAGAACTAAAAACGACGGATGGTTGAGGGGGGAAGTATATATCTTCTATGCAGTAGGATAAGTATAGAAACATTTCCCATTTTTTAAATATTAAGAATGGAAAATTATTTTTTCATATTTATGACCCGAAATCTGAAGTTCTCAAATCGTTTTTATTTGTGTCTAGGATCATTTTTTAAATGGCTTTTTAGGGGGAACAATATGTGAAATAAAGCACTCGTAATAAATTAGTTCCGGTCAAAAAAATTGGAGTTAAAAAATAGGGAAAATATCTCCATACCTCATATTTTTAGGTTTCATTTCTTGATTGGCCCAAGGTTTCAAAAGATATTTTCTAAACCCCTGGCCACTTTAAACCTATTTTTTAACCTAAATAAATGTGAGAAATACATGTTCTTTCTAAACCCAATCATTTTTCTCTTTTCACTTATATATCCCAAACTTCTCTCTTTGTCTCTCTTCATGTGTCTCTCACTCTCTCTTTTTCCTTTCGTGTTTTTCCAAACATCTCTCTCTCCTTTTGATAACCTCTCACCTCCATAATCCCTTCTCTCTATCTAGAAGTTTGGGAGGATGGCTTTTTAAAAAGGTATGTATTTTTTGATTTGTTTGACCTTAAAAAACAAGTTTAAATTAGCTCAGGGGATTAGAATAAATAAAATCTACGATTTTTATGCCCCAAGGTATCTTTTAAGGGAAAGCTTTCTATGTTCCCCCTACAACATAGAAGTTCTATACTCCCCCTACCATCCAGCCGTCCATTTTTTATCAAGAGAGCCATTCACCGTTTGATCTTAGATCCGACATCTTAAAGAATTTTATTTTTGGTTTTTTTTAATACAAATTTTGTGAATTTAAAATTTAGTATGTGTCATCTTCACATTGGGGCGCACCTATAAAAAATATTAACAATAATTTTCCGATAAAAAATAATGACCAAAATACCCCTTGAAAATTTTAGGGGTATTTTGGTCATTTATTTTTATCAAAATTATTTTTTTTTTATTTTTCATTAGTGAGAGTTTAATAGAGGCATGGACGTCCAAAATCTGGTAAAAAAAATTTTATAGAAAAAAAAATTAAAAATAAAATAGTGTAGAGACATGACATTGTGATTGGGGCAATCTTAGCCCTTCATTAAAAAATGGGTGGTTGGATAAGGGGAGGATAGAACTTCTATGTTGTAAGGGAACATAAAAAGCTTTCCCCATCTTTTAAAATTTTGGTCTATTGTGAAATGAAACCTAAAAATAAGAGATATGAAGATATTTTTCCTAAAAAATAAGAGCAAAAATAAAGGTAGTCAAAAATAATGTAAGTCAAATGATCATAAATACTTTGTAATAGGCTCAAAAAAATAAAATGAAAAAATCAGATATACAAAGATAACATGTGAAAGAATTATGATTTATAGTTACTGTAAATATATATTAAAATCATTGAAAAATAATTAGAGTCTTGCTTGGTAAATTTTTTGTCTAATGCTTCCTCCATCGTTATGACACAAATCATACAACTATTTTATTTAAGGACCGTACAACGAAACAATAAGAACAACACTAAACAAGACAATTGTATTAACAAATAAAAAACTTGTAACCCAAGGTGTAGGATTAATGTTGGAAAAATAGACCATTAGTTAAGGATTGTGATGGACAAAAACATAAAACCTATTAAATGTAAAACAAACAAGCAGTCATGGTCATAATTGTTCATTAAAATGAAAGAAGAATATATATTAAAATTTGGGTCAAACAAACGGTCCTGAAATGGTTTTTGAAGATTGTTTCATAATATTACTATACAACTATTAAATGAAATCACTCCTCGGAATGGAATAAATTGATAAAAATAAATAAAACGGAATTTTAATGATGTAGTTAATGTTATGTGAATGAGATGACTAATTGTATTAAGAAAGTGTAAATAAAGTTTTAGGAAAATCTAGTTGAAAAAGATATTCAGATAAAAAAACTTGGTAATAGAGCGATGAGGTTTAAATGGCTATCAATAAAAAGCGATTATGTTACAAAGCTTGGGAATGGAATATAAATTATCAAAACTTTGAATAATATAAAAATGCCAAGAAGGATGCTAAGAAAATAATATGTAAAGCTAGGCTTAAGACATATGATGATTTATATAATAATTTGGGGACAAGAAAATGTGGACAAGATATCTTTAAACCAATGTTGTCAGATTCGCTTCGGGGGTCTTCTTCAGTTTGGTAAGAAAAAATGAAACAATTTGGTGCTTTGGCCGATTTGGGGTAAGACTTTGGATTTTTTTATTTAATATAAATAAATTAGATATTTACATATATAAATATATAAAAATCATGAAAAATTAAAAATAAAATTTCATAAATAAAATAAAAAACACTTTTATATAGATATTTCTTTGATTAGGCTGAAGAGGTTGAACCTTCGGCTGAATCCAATCGAAACGGCAACACTAATATAAAAAAATTAGAAAAAAAATAAAAATTATTTTTTAAAAAATAAATTTTTTTTAAGCAGATAAAAAATTATTATTATTTTTAAAAAATTATATAGATATTTATTTGTTTGGGTCAAATTCGGCCGAAACTTCAGTCGAATCTGCCTAAAACATACCCAAATATGACTGAAACGGCTTAAATTTGACCCAAACGACAGCATTAGGTTTCACCTCGCTTCGGTCTAGGCCTAAAATCCGAAGGATTTGGTCCTTTCGACTGAAGGATTTGGCCCTTTAGACCGAGGCAAAGCAAATTTGACAATAGTAATTCAATTGGAGACAATGCGTGAGACCATTGGACGT